CTTTGGGTCGCACTCTTTTATCCGGAGCAATCGGTTGAATTTTGACAAAATTTGCATATTTCACAAGCATCTCAGGTCCTCATGTGGCGCCGAAAGAAAATTCGTTTAAAAAAATTTATAGAAGCGAATTTCTCCAATCTGGTTTCATATTTGTTATATGCTTATTAAAAGAAGTCTACAGAAAAATTATGAGCGAAATCCATTTTGTGAGCAAAACTCGATATGAGGATCTTACAGAGACTGGCTCTTAAGAGCTGGTGTTAAGCGCTGTTTTTAGATAGCATTTATACGGGGAGATCGGTTCTGATGGAACGTGTCTCATTTTTCCTTGTATAAAGGGCCTATTGTGTTCCTTGTTCCTCCGACGCAACTAAGAGACACCATAATAAAAGGATGTCTAGATCTCAGCACACTCAGATCTGTTCACGGAAGCATAGTACCACAGGCGACTTACAGTTAAATCAGCGACCTTCTTTACGTGGTCGCTTAAAGGAGGGTTCAACGGTATGAAAATGCCTGTCCTTGTAAAACAGTTAACTTCTAAATTAGGTTACGCTCTCATGCCATGCGGAAATACCAGACAGGAAAATTTTGTCCAGTTTTCTCTGAAGGCGCAGAATGATATAGTCGTAAAAATGCCCGCTTGCTATATTTTACCAGAAACAGAGCCCTTGATCACGAGAGCATATTCCTTTAATTTTTCTGTTGTCCTTGAGGTCAGTATTCAATGCGACTTTGTAATTACGAATTTTAAATGTAATACTTCCTTGATGAAAGTTACCTGAACTCCAGCCTTTCAATCAATGGCTACTGTAGAGTGCATACATTGTCAACGCATAGCACGTCAGTATATAGCACGCGCAGAAAATCGCTGATAAATCGCATGAAAGTTGGAGCAGCTACCAAACAACGTCGATTCCGTGGGCGACAGATAGTAGTGAAGTTCTCGCCTGTTTACTCGCGACTCAAAATGGTGTCTTAAGATGAATTTAGAATACAGGTACAAAGATGTCTCTATGGAGAATTTTCTCATTGCTTTCTCTAACAAGGCGCACGGTTTCGGAAAATGTAGGGAACGGTATGGATGCGTCAGAAAAAAAGATTGCACTAGCATAGCTACCCACAAACGAGAACACTTAAACAAAGTGCAGTAGTAAAATTAGACAAAAAATCCTGGAATAGTCTTTAAGCCCAGTTTTAGCTATAGTATGGGGTGAAATATTAAATAGATGCATTTCGTTGTTATTTCAGTCACGGAAGTCGCTCGTGGCCAACTTGTTGCCAATTTGTCTGCGGCTTGTTGGCATTTTTTTTGTTATTACCACGTATTGACGTTAACTTCAATCTATAAAAGATCATAAATAAAGATACGCATGGAAAAATTAATAATTTAGCTCCGGGTGCGAAAAGCTAAAGGAATTGGCTACTTGTAATAAAGGAGATTGAAGCAGCATTTTCTGCCCCCCAAAAGCAGGGAAAATGTAGATGAATCTTTTGATTTGCTTTTTTTAGACGATGAAATGTCGTCCTTGCAACAGAATTCTTGAGTTCTTGCAATGACCAATCATCAGTTTTGTTTTGAGAACAAACTCCAAGTTTTAAGCAGAGTTTTTCAGTGGGGGAAGAAGTCGAGGGCGAAACTGCAAATGATTTGGGAGTTACCCGGGTCAAGATTGGCCCGTGCGTAATTTACAAAAAAGCAATGCCCTGAAACTCTTAAAAGCTCTTTAGATTTTACGTACGTCCTTGAATCAATTACGTGTATCCTTAGAACAAAGCCCATTTTCCGGTTATATTCATGCAGATAATTCGCTGAAAGTCAGTTGAAGATCGTGGAGTTAAATTGAAAGAAAATGGACATTACACACCCGTCAGAAACATATTGAAAGAAAAAGAACCTTGTCTATAATTTTTATGCTTTGGCGCGACTCAAAGGCTCATTTTATTGCAGATTTCTTGATATCAGGCTATGATTGACGCTATAAGCTTTTAAGGCCATCTAAAATTACAATTTTCGATATTGTTATAAAAACGGTACGAACTATCCACGGAGTTAAACTCGAACTCGGTCTCATGCAATGTGCCTTTCAGTGAAGAGCTGATGTGCAGTAACTTCCTCTACAAGTTGGTAATTGATGTGCAAGAGGTGCTAAAATCTTGCATGTTGTAACCGGCATCNATTTGCTTTTTTTAGACGATGAAATGTCGTCCTTGCAACAGAATTCTTGAGTTCTTGCAATGACCAATCATCAGTTTTGTTTTGAGAACAAACTCCAAGTTTTAAGCAGAGTTTTTCAGTGGGGGAAGAAGTCGAGGGCGAAACTGCAAATGATTTGGGAGTTACCCGGGTCAAGATTGGCCCGTGCGTAATTTACAAAAAAGCAATGCCCTGAAACTCTTAAAAGCTCTTTAGATTTTACGTACGTCCTTGAATCAATTACGTGTATCCTTAGAACAAAGCCCATTTTCCGGTTATATTCATGCAGATAATTCGCTGAAAGTCAGTTGAAGATCGTGGAGTTAAATTGAAAGAAAATGGACATTACACACCCGTCAGAAACATATTGAAAGAAAAAGAACCTTGTCTATAATTTTTATGCTTTGGCGCGACTCAAAGGCTCATTTTATTGCAGATTTCTTGATATCAGGCTATGATTGACGCTATAAGCTTTTAAGGCCATCTAAAATTACAATTTTCGATATTGTTATAAAAACGGTACGAACTATCCACGGAGTTAAACTCGAACTCGGTCTCATGCAATGTGCCTTTCAGTGAAGAGCTGATGTGCAGTAACTTCCTCTACAAGTTGGTAATTGATGTGCAAGAGGTGCTAAAATCTTGCATGTTGTAACCGGCATCCAATTCATTCAAATGAAAAGAGACTAAGCATTACTTTCTCCAGTTTGTATTGTTTATTATGATTTACACGATAAAATGTATGGCTCTTCGATATATATAGGACAAGAGTTCAAGTATAACCATTCCAATAAAAGCTACTGAGCATTACTTTTCTGTGGTATTGTTTTAAGGTGAACTTAATGTATTAGTTTGTGGGTAAAATCCTATAGTGTGAGCATCATTTAAACATGACTAATGAAGAATAGTTTCCTGTTTGATCAGTAGTAAATCATGCTATACAACGCCGAGTCTCTAAATTCCCAGCATGTATGGATGGAATCCTAAAGTGAATTTAAAAATATTTAAATGAAAGCTGCACTGTGACTGAGCAGCACTTTCAAGTGTCGTCAGAAACCGAAACTTACAAAAAGAGCCAAAATATCTATATTACTTGATTAGAGAGACTGAAATAGTACTGAATTTTAACCACCCAATAAACACTGCAAATAAAAGTTATTTTCCAGAGCATTGTTTTTGTTTTCAGTACAACCTTGTAACTCTGACGGTGTTTAATGACTCTTGCAAGTTGATTTTTAAAACAGTTTCGTAAATTTTCTGCGCTCTGTTATCCTAGAGATGAAGGCTTGATGATCAATACAATAAATACATGGCGTTAAAATACGCCTTTATTTGAAACTACAGAGGCGAAACGCCTGCTCAATACACATTCCCACCCTTAACTACCGTCCTACGAAAAATAACTAAGAACTTAAAAAAAAGAAAGAAATCACAAGTGCTCGAACTGGTACTGGACCAGCTCTGAGCTTGAGTGGAAACTTTCACTCCAATTTTGGCCCGGCACGGTAAGATATTTATGATTTTCGATTTTTAACGTAGAAAACGATTCACCAACACTCAATCGATCACATGAGCTAATGTTAGAGATATATGTTTAATATTGAAGCCTTCGTAAACACACTTTTGAGTGGAAACGCCAGTTAAGAAGTAGTTTTGTTGGTTAAAAGTTTTCAAAAACGAAGTTTGGTCATTTTGAAATGGTTTAACTAGCCTTCAGCCCGGAAAACTTTCTTTATGTTATATCATGAATCTCATAATGTTCTTGTTGCCGGTGGAGAGTAGAGATAACCACTGGCTCTTTCGCTATTCTGCTAAAATTTAAATGCAGATAAGCAAGGAAACTGTTCAGTTGAAATCTTACGCTAATTGTATTTGTTTCTCAATATGTTTCCTCTCAATTTCTTTCAGTCATAGCATGAATGCAGTTTAAACTTCTTAAAAATCCAAATAAATCCCCCAAAATCAAGGGAAGGCATTTAAAAATCCCTTTACAGTTTCTCGTCTTACTGGCAAGTTTGCCAACTTAAACGCAGTTTTAAAGCAAGTTTCCGCTACGGAATTCCAAGAAGCACGTTCTGTGTTGTTCTTAGTATTGTTTGTCTAAGTTGTGTTCCTGCGTACTTCTAACACTTAGCTTTCAAGGGGTTTTCCGCCCTGTTTGAAGCGACACCCTTATTTACATATTAATACATTTTAATTGAGCAAATGCACCGTTGGAGACAGTTTATAGTCAAGCGGAAAATTAAAAAGTTTCTTTACTGTGACTCGTTATTCGGCGTCCCTTTGGGGGTAATTTTAGAGTAATTAATGGTAATCATTATTCCATTTCGTGACGTGATATTTTACTGCAAAATTTGTTAATATATGCTCCATCAAATATCACCCTTCTTCATTCAGCCTAAGATCCTTGAACAGCTGCTGATGTAATGAGCTAACTAAAGGTAAGATTTGTTTTGTCATTTACAAAACAAACGTTTCTTAACAGATTCTTGTTAAAATTGTTTTCAATTTAAAATCTCCTCAGGGGTAGCAAGTGAAGCTTTGAAATAGCTGAAGCATAATACAAGACACGATGTTTCTGGGTTGCTTGAACAAACTTTGGAAATGGTGAAAAAAGGTGAGATTTACGTCGCGTTTGCCTTTTAAGTCTTGAGACAATAACCCTTACGTCAACTTAACTCCATTCAAGGCGCCAGCTATCTGCTTGACGTTTACTCGTTACCTTCAATCACGAATTAAACTCTTTAGTAGTCTTATGGATGTCCTGAGAAAATCGAATTATTTTGTTGCTGCATTTTATTTAGATTACTGGGTTGTCCAGCCTGACGACGATTCTGGTTTTCAAGATGATGTAAGCGTGGCTTATGGTGAAAACAGCCATAATCCTGTACAGATCACCGCTTACAAAACGATAACATGGGGTTGCTTCACTCCAAAAAAGCAAGAGTCGAAGGAACGCGAAGAGAAGAGTCGGCAGAAGATTGGGCTCTCTGAGTGGCCAGCAAGAACCGAAAGCTTTCTTCATCGGGCTACAAAAAAGATTATCGGAAAGACTAGACGAATCATCGGGAACTTCAAACCGGAAGAAGAGAAAAAAGCCGCCACACAGAAACAGCAAGATACAAAGTTGAAAGAAAACCAAACCCCGCAAGTCGTGAATATCATTCTTCCTGCAAATAGCAGCACAAGTATTAACGAAGATCTTGTGGATGATGGCAAAGTAAATTTCTTTCGTGCCGACCCTTTGAGAAGCCCTTTTCGGGAATCCCGCAGCTCACGCTCGAGTCGGGAATCCCGAGAACCGCACCCGGAGGATGAATCACTGCGGAGGGAGTCTCGTTCCAGTAACTCGTTCCAGCGGGTTGATCTAAAGCGATGTTCAATTCGAGGGCTCCGAGATTCGGTGTTTCTAGAATCCCGCGACTCGTTGTCCCGTGTCTCTCTGAAGTTCATTGACAGACAGCCCATGTTGAGGGTCTTGTTTGAATTCCAAGCCTGTGACGACGATGAAATCGCTGTTCGAAGAGGAGAGCTTGTCAAAGTGCTGAACAAAGATGACCAAGATTGGTGGTGGGTGGAAAACGCTCATGGGGAACAAGGGTTTGTGCCGCGCAATTTCCTGTGGCCCTGTGGCTGTTATGGTAAGGGAAGTCGGTAGGATAAGTTTTTACTACAAGAGGCTGTCATTTTTAGAGAGGATTTATACTTAGCTCCCTGGCACTGAATATAGCTAGAAGATAAAGCGCACTTATTACTTGTAAAAGTAAGCAAATATGACCATCAAATTAATGCTCGTCGCTTAGGTACTGACTTTCTACCAAAACTTTCAACTTTGCACTCAAAGCGAATATTTAGAAAAAGGTGAAATTAAAGATAACGTTGTGTAGCGAGCTTAATTAGAATTTAAAGTTTTCAACAAGTAAACAGAATTTTCTAGAAAAATGGAAATAAAACGGTTAATTTGGGATGTAAACAATAGCCCAATTATCGAGCTTGCGCTAATTTGACAGATATTGTACGAAGCATTCCAGCTGCGTCAACACTGTGTTAGCCAACATTTCTATGAAATTTCTGCCTGAGGCGAAGTTGAAAGCCATAAAAAGTACAAATTTATGTTTATCTCAAAAAGCCTTTAGCAGTTTCGACCCATTCACATTGGTGCAAACCTTAACCAAAAAGTCCCCAACTTTCAGAGTTCAACTTTAAGAAAAAACGTTTATTTGAGCAACCTTAAAGCTGTAAAAGGTGGCACCTTTTTTCTGTTCGCTTCTGTTAAACTGATAAATAACAAGTAAGTTTCATTTAGTTTCTATTATCTAAACATACGCCTTCCTGAATTGCTGACATAGACTGTATTGATATAAGGGTTTTATTGCTCAAGAGGGTCGTTGGCAACATTCATGCATCAGCTTTGTATAGTAAATTACCGTGATGAAAAGTTAAAACAACAACGTCCTGCAGTGGAAAAAAAAAATTATTAAAAGTGTGATAACATTTTATAATAAAACTAATAACTACGCGAGTTATCAAAAGCCGTGCAATAACACGGATATACTAATAACTACACGATGTCGTCATTTTTTACAAAGAAAACCGTCACAAGTTTGTGTTGAAGGTAGCGGACGAAAGCCGGACTGAGTCAATGCAGTTTCACAAGATTTCTTATTCTACGCTTTTTTTCTCCAAGATTTAAATTACTCTTAGCATTTTTCTATTTAAGGTTTGAAACATTTGTGAAAGAAACAATTGCAACTTGCTCTATTTTATGTCGGCTATTTTCTTTGTTTGAGAATCATCAAACCACAAAATCGGAAAAGCTTGCGGTTAGCTCAGCCAACAATAAGATTTTAATTAAAAAACATTTAGTTCAAAGGCAATATCATTAAAGACTTGTTTACTCGCAAATAAACTCTAAAATTAAGCAAAGTGACCATGAATCAGCATTAGAGAATGCAGCGGGCAGACAGTTGCTTTCACGTTCTGTAGACCATAAATTCCACTCCTGTTATAAGTTTTTGGTGCAAGAATCAGAAAATGTTACCGCATGATGGCGCTTGTGGGACCAGTGACATCATTGAACCCTGGGACATGGTTGGTCATTCAAAATGGCGGCTACGATGACCGCCATCTTGAATTCAAAGTTATCAAAAGCACATAATACCTAAACCAGCAGCACAATAGTTAATTGCAACATTTTTGCAAGTGTAGAAAGAAACCATGACCCGGTTTCTCGTTACCACATCAACAGAACTTGCGCAAAATAAACAAGTAACGGATGATTGAATTTCTAAGTAGCTGCCAAATAAACAAACATAACTTTGTTATGATGATATAAGATATATTTGACAGGCGCAATGAAAGTACAGTCCCCCTGTTAGTTGCACAATTCAGTAATTTCATCTTCGTTCTCGTTTCTTGTTTTGTACCCCTTTCGAGTTTTCCTTATGGCCGCCAGGCTGTTTTATTTTTTAAGCAATATATCATACAAGGTAGTTAATGATTACAGATAGAACAAGTTTCCCAGTTATTTTGAAACTTTCAGGAAAATAAGGCGGTCTCGTGAGGCACCGAAATCCTTTAATATTTGTCCCGGGATGTTTTTTCTCCTCACTTTTATGTCTCTGGGATTTCCTTTATTTTCTATTGCACCAATAGAACATCTTGATTGCATTTAACAGTAACCAAATTATAGGTTCAGTTGTGAAAATTGTCCCAGGAAAGGAAATATTCTTGCAATTCTGTCTCACTTCGAAATTGTTATCTATTTATGTGCCAATATTGGTGGACGGCGCACTTTGTCTTCTTCACTCCTATGAAGTATTGTCATTGGAGTAAAAAGTAAAACAAATATGTATAAAGACGATATGATTTTTCTTTTCTTTTTATTCAAGTTTGTCAGAAGTTCATCCTGGACAAAGTCTCAAAGGACACGGACTGTTCTCCCACATATCAGGACAAAGAACAAGGAAGGAGCCAGAGCTCTCGCGGATTTTCTGTGGGGAGCTACACCGAGTGTGACGCAAACACGAAGTTGATTGGAAACAGGCGATATACACGCACTTGGTGCTAGATCATGACGTCATGAAGAACTCATGTGAAGGAAGGAAAACCATTTTTAATTCTTGTATTTTCAACTAATAAACTACAAAAAAATACCATAATACTCTTTCATTCAAGTGCAGTCTCAACCCCGCCTAAAAAAAACAATTCCTGGCTCTTCTGCTAAAATTGCTCGAGTGAATTCGTTTTAGATGTAGGTGTAACTTGCAGTAGAACTTAACTTTATTGTTTTATTAAGGAATACTAACAGCATTATAATCGAAAAAAAATGCATGAAGACTAAACTATATTTTTGATGTGTAAACGCGTTAAGGTTAACAAATTGCCAGTCACGTATATTTCATGCTTTGAAACACCGGGCTTACACGAGGCACCTCTCAGTTAAAACTGCATTTCAAATCAAAAAACTATTATGGTATTTTTTCGTCCCTAGGGCTTTCTCTATGGCAAAAGGGGAGAGCCTTTGGGGTAATCTCGTACCCAGATCTCCTACGGCCAAGGGAAAGGATCCTTTTTAGCGAAAGATAGAGTGAGATCTGGGTACAAGAATGAACACAATGAACACTGACTCGACTGATATTGCGACTTTTTGGTTAAACTTGGGTCTCTCTCATCGTATTTTGGGAAATACAAAGTTGCATTTGCAATAACAGAAACATTAAGAACATTCCACACAGTCGGATAGTAGGTAACAGCTGACTCGGGACTTGAAATCACTTATTTGGGTATTTGCACAAACAATTTGCTTTACTTAAGAGCTCCTTGCTATTCTAGAAATACAGTCGATTCTCTCTTAACGGAGACCTCGGAGACGACTTCCGTAAATTTAGCAACGGAACATCGTCATTTGACGACGGGAAAGAGCGCAGAAAGGACTAAACTCGACTTCCGGTGCCCAGTTTGCCGCTCAGTCATTGGTCAATCCAGTTGTTTGATTTGCGCGCGTGGTCGTCAAGTGACGTTCCCATCGGACTAATAACAACAGACATCAAGCGGATAGACCAGGGCTGTCTTTCTTCAGTCCTCTTTTCGCAATTTACGAGACCCTACAGAAGATTCGATGAAATGGCAATAAGATTGCTAAGATGGCCTCATTTACGGTTGCGACAGAGACTGGATCTGTGTTGTATCGAATTGCACCATGGGGCTGTTTTGGTGAAATTTTGACCCAGTTTCCTGCGCAACTTTGTAACGGAAAAACAGTCCCATAGTCCAATTCGATACGACATTGACCCAGACTCTCACGAGCTTAAATAAGCTACACTTAGTTTTGTCCCAATGGTATTAAAGAGACAGTTGCCTGTACACAATTAAGAAGGACACTTAAGAACCAAGAAAAGAAAAACAAAACTTACTAGAACATTTAAAGACAAATAGCATTCAATCATATTTTCTCAGGCACATTAGCTTATAGTCGACTCTCTCTTAACGGACACCTCTACAAGACGGACACCTCTGCAGAATGGACACCTAGAGTTGGTCCCTGCCTTTCTTTACTCCCTTTATCTGACTCTCTATAAGACGGACATCTCTCTTAGAAGTACACACACTGTGCGTGCGGTCCCAAAGGTGTCCATCTTAGAGGGAGTTGACAATAGTCAAGACAGTAGTCAAGAGCCCATAACACCTAGCGAGCAACTCCCACGAGGCCTATATGTCACGGCGTTATTACTGACGGGTTTATTTTTAGACTCATTTTAGGGCACTTTTTCCCGCGAAAATGGAATCTCCGCCTCCCCTATGAAATCAAAAAGGAAAACGTAACGTCATTATAAAGGCAAAAATTATCATTTTTAGTTCTGTCGGTTTCCCTGAATGGTTTGTGGGACTTTTTAAAAGATTTTCTAAATTCGCGCCAAAACCGTTCTAAAAATAAGCTGGTCTGTGAAAACGCCGTGACACGAGTACATGGAGTTGCTCGCTGCAGGTTATGGGCTCCTACAGTAGTGCGATAGGCCTGTTTGATAACAGGAGAAATTCTGCTACCTAACTGTATTGTGGCTATGCCAGTTATTAGGTTTTTTGCTTGCTAATAAAATTTATTATCCTCGTCGGTTTACGACTCGTTTATTGCAATAAAAAAGAGCTGGTTTTGCTAAAAGGAACTTGGCTAACTTTCGTAAGAGCAGACGTTATGGTTAATTCTCTCATTTGGGACACACCGATACTGGCGATCTCCCCACTAATAAAACGGACAGCTAGCAGGACTAGCAGCCAGGGTTGGTCACTACATCCTGCCGTTCTTCACTCATTTTTTTATGACCGCCCTTTAAAACGGATCCCTTCTAAAACGGACAGGCCTAGTGCCCGTCCAAAGGTGTCAATGACAGTATTATTAGTAAATCGTAATGCCATTTTGTTCTTTCAGTTGACTGTTTAGAGCGTACGCGTAAGCGAGCTAGCGGACTGGGCCTATTTTTTGTCGGACGTACGGAAACGTCTTGAAAAATCTTTTCGAGTTTGCTCGGGGAAGTGGGTCATATTCATTAAAACAATCCCAGAGGCCCCAGAGTATAATTCGACACAGCATGGGCCCCAGCCTGCGAGCAGGCTCACTCGTGAAATTTTGCGAAAATAATTGAGCTTTGCGGTTCCTCCTAACCTGCGATCAGGCGATTTTNGATCTCCCCACTAATAAAACGGACAGCTAGCAGGACTAGCAGCCAGGGTTGGTCACTACATCCTGCCGTTCTTCACTCATTTTTTTATGACCGCCCTTTAAAACGGATCCCTTCTAAAACGGACAGGCCTAGTGCCCGTCCAAAGGTGTCAATGACAGTATTATTGGTAAATCGTAATGCCATTTTGTTCTTTCAGTTGACTGTTTAGAGCGTACGCGTAAGCGAGCTAGCGGACTGGGCCTATTTTTTGTCGGACGTACGGAAACGTCTTGAAAAATCTTTTCGAGTTTGCTCGGGGAAGTGGGTCATATTCATTAAAACAATCCCAGAGGCCCCAGAGTATAATTCGACACAGCATGGGCCCCAGCCTGCGAGCAGGCTCACTCGTGAAATTTTGCGAAAATAATTGAGCTTTGCGGTTCCTCCTAACCTGCGATCAGGCGATTTTGCCAAAAAAAAAAAAAAATCGCCTGATCGCAGGTTAGGTTCCTCCCGCCAAATCACGCGCGCACACTGGGGAGAGCGGAACTGGAGCGAATGGGCGGAATATTGATCACGTGACTTTGTACATTTCGAAAGACATCGTGTTCCACAGATTGTGCTGAAACCAGCGAAGGCTGTAGACGGCTGATTTTGTTATTTTCCTCTTCGATTGTCTGTGAAAATGTCGAAAGGACCAGCCATTGGGATCGATCTTGGTACCACGTACTCCTGTGTTGGAGTTTTTCAACATGGAAAAGTGGAAATCATCGCGAACGATCAAGGAAACCGAACAACACCGAGTTATGTGGCCTTCACGGAAACCGAACGATTGATCGGGGATCCTGCGAAAAATCAAGTCGCTATGAATCCAACTAATACGATTTTTGGTAAGCTTTGAAGGAATTGTGTGAGCTTTGAACGTATCGGTTGTAATTGTAGCGGTTTTTGCTATTTACAGATGCGAAGCGTCTCATCGGACGAAGATTTGATGATCCCGCTGTCCAATCCGACATGACACACTGGCCATTTCAGGTAGGATTCTGGTGGATTTTTTAAATTTGAAAAGAAGGGGAACCAGTAGACGATAGCTCAGAAAGCTGGTGGCTAATTAGATTTTTCGCACATATTGTAGAGAGTTGTACAATGCCATGTTTTTGGATGTTACTGTTAGCTAACTATTGTAAACAGGAAGGCAAGGGTTAATTTAATTGTCTCTATGTAGACGCTTTTGTGAGCAGTTTTCAAGAAGAAAAAGTTTCTTTTTCGGATAGGTGGTCAACGAGTCTGGCAGACCTAAGATACGTGTGGAATACAAGGGAGAAACCAAAACATTCTATGCGGAAGAGGTAGGCTTAAGTACATTGTACGGATAAATTGATTTTCTGTTAAAGGTTATTATATTGTTTCGCAAATATTTAGTCAATTATGCATGATCAGCGAATTTTCTGGAATTTTCCCAGTTTCTTATAGAAGAATTTAATCCCGTTTAAAATCTCAGGGATAGAGTACAGATTTTTTCAAGTCAAGTTGTGATGTGGAAAGTGAAAGTGAAAGAGCCCCTAAAGTACCCCTGCTGTTCTAGAGATTTAAGCGTTAGGACAGAAAAAAAAAGTGTTATGTGCTAACTATTTCTGCATGTATGAGTATGTTGCACTTAAATGTTTTCCCTCCAGGTAAAATTGCAAAACTTAGATCCCACGAAAGATTGTGCTGCAAGGATAAACCAGGCTGAATTATAGAAATGATTTGACAAAAGTGTCCATTATTTTCCACTGACAGATTTCCTCCATGGTGTTAACAAAAATGAAAGAAACAGCAGAAGCTTACCTTGGTAAAACCATCACCGATGCCGTCATTACAGTGCCTGCATATTTTAATGACTCCCAGCGTCAGGCCACCAAAGATGCTGGTAAGTAAGCCCTAGTATTAAAGTACATATTCTCATAACTGATCTTTATACAATTGCTTTAAGACTAAGGAGAAGAATCTGTTGACAAATCAGAAAATTTGATCATGGACAGTATCCCAATTTTCTTTAATTTCTGGTAGTCCTCCTAAACAGTGCAACCTCTGTGAAAATATCTCGCAGTTCTCCCTCCTCCTCCTTTACAATGTTGACACTAGGAAAAATTTGGGAGGGGGGTGGAAGGAGTTGGGCATGTGGGAATTAAAGAAAGTCCCACGAATGCAAATGTGTCCCAAGACTATTGTCCATGATTGTAGTCATTCTAATTTTAGGCTCAAAAGTGCCCAAAAAATCTGGTTTTGTCATGCCATAGTAAAACATGTCCAACTTGGCTCAAAACTGTGTTTCAAACCCTTCTAACCTAGCTTGTAAAGGATTCAAAACAATTCTGTAAAGGGTTTGCAAAGAGTTTGCCAAATTCTTCAAAAGGGTTTGTAAAGGGTTTCAACCCTCTCAAAGGGCACCTCAAACGCCCCAAATCAGCATGCAAAGAAAGTAGTGTCCAATAGCCCGGGGCTAGTGAATTCTCTTCTTAACTTGCCCGTGAAGTTTTTTGAGGAATTCAAATCACTTAGCAACTGTGTAGTCAATCCTCCTTATCAAAACATTTTTGGGGCTAGTTGAAATGAATTTTGGGCTAGTACATGCTAGCTACAGCTTGCTTGAATGGCAAGCTGTAAAACTGACTTTCTTTGCACCCTGAAAATGCTTTTTTTAAAAAAATGTGTTTTGATATGGAGGTCATGTAAAGCATTTTTCTCTGTAGGTGTAATTGCTGGTCTCAATGTCCTGCGTATCATCAATGAGCCAACGGCGGCTGCTATAGCCTATGGCCTTGACAAGAAAGTTGGAGCTGAGCGAAATGTCCTGATCTTTGATCTGGGAGGGGGAACATTTGATGTTTCTATTTTGAGCATCGAAGAAGGAATCTTTGAAGTCAAGTCAACAGCAGGGGACACCCACTTGGGAGGCGAAGACTTTGACAACAAGGTCGTCGACCACTTTGTGGAAGAATTCAAAAGGAAGTACAAGAAAGACCTGACCACTAACAAACGTGCGCTGCGACGCTTGCGCACTGCATGTGAACGGGCCAAAAGGACCCTGTCTTCTAGCACACAAAGCAGCATCGAGATTGACTCCCTGTTTGAGGGAATAGACTTCTACACTACACTCACCAGAGCCAAGTTTGAATCTTTAAATGCAAAATACTTTGAAGAAACACTGAAGCCAGTTGAGAAGGCACTGCGTGATGCTGGTCTCTCCAAGCCTCAGATTCATGAAGTAGTGCTGGTTGGCGGCTCCACTCGCATCCCGAAGATTCAGGACCACCTCTCCAAATTTTTCGATAATAGGGAGCTCAACAAGAGCATCAACCCAGATGAAGCTGTAGCCTACGGAGCGGCAGTACAAGCTGCTATCCTGAGTGGTGATAAGAGCAGCGAAGTCCAGGACCTGTTGCTTTTAGATGTCACCCCCCTGTCGCTGGGAATAGAGACGGCTGGTGGTGTCATGACAACACTCATTAAGCGCAACACAACAATACCCACGAAACAGACACAGAGCTTTACCACTTATTCAGACAACCAGACCAGTGTGCTTATCCAGGTAATTGAGCCCTTTTTTGATTAAAAAAACAAAACAAATTAAAAACCTGATGACGATATCACTAGTTTTGAGAAATATGTCTGACAACTATCAAAACTATCATCTTCTGTAAGAAATTTGGCTATATCTTAACCCTTTAAGTCTCAATAGTGACCAACATCAATATTCTCCTAACAATATCCATACATTATCAAGACATTAGGTTATGAGAACTAAGAAAATGATCACCTAAGAGAAAATGCTTAGATCTATTATCAAATTCTCTCAACTCATTCTTTAGGGAAATTTATGGAGATCAGTTAGAAGAATTTGTATGTGGATATTGGAACTTAAAGGGTTAAGGTTGAAACACACCATTCGACATGAAGTTGGTGGCAAATCACTCCTTATGCACGGGTCAGGCGACAAGTGGCAGTGGCAAATTGCTTTGTGTAGAGAAGAATTTTTGTGCAAATCTTTTTATCCATGACAAAATTCTGTCGTGGAGACTTAAGAGTTGAACAAAACTTCTCTAGTACAAACAAAGCAATATGTCGATATGACGTTACGACCTGCAAAATTTTATTTGTTAATTCTTGACCATTTCTAGCCCAATGAATTTTGTCAAGATTTTTTGTAATTTTGATATATTTACAGAGTAATTCTACCCCAAAACATTTCTCATGTAGAGGGGGTCATCAAATCCTACCATGCCCTTCTACCCCGTAAAAAACTTTTTAAATGTTCCCTTATGCAGGGCTTCTGATAGGTCGTGGAAGAAAAACTCAAATTTCGCGGGATTTTTAGGGACAAATTCGTGGAAAAATCGGCCAATTTCCTGGGAGTTTTCAGGGCAAACTTCACCGGGATTTTGCAGATTTACCTGAATTTCGTGGCTCCGTGACCACGCAAAACATCAGAAGCCCTGCTTATGGTAGAAGTGGGACAGAGACATCATGATAGGTGCTCCATGCCTTCTTTTTTAATACTAATGATGGATGAAATAATTAGCATAACCATGGTCATAAGGGAAGGCTTTGCTCCAAGAAAAATTGAAAGTAGCCCATTCCTCTGAACTGGTGAAATCCAGGGCGCCCGGCATATGATTTGTATAAAAAACACTAAGAGTTTCTAGTCGCCCAGGAGCAAAAGCTGGGTGCCAAAGGCCAACAGGCTCTGCTAGGAGCACAGCCTTGTAAGGTGGAGAAGGCCTAAAGGCTGGTTTTCACTGGCGTCGGAGTCATAATTGGAAGCATAGAACTTTATGATGTAGTGAAAACAGTGTTCTGATTCATCTAATTCTGTTTATGACTCTGTCGCTTACGATCAAGTGAAAACTGGCTTTTCTGAGGCATAAGCAGAAGCAGAGGAACCTAAAGCAATCTCAAAGCGTGGGAATGTGCATTGTGATTGGTTTATCCTTCTACTTCTGCTTCCAACGTTGACAATCTGGTTTTCACTAGATTACAAGTGGAACACAAGCGATAGGGTTGTAAGCGGAGTTGGAAAAAAAATGGAAACGCTCTGATTCTTCTGACTCCGTTTCCATCGTGCTTATGACTCTGCTTTTGACTCTGACTCCGTCGCTAGTTGAAACCAGCCTTAATATTATGTTTATTATAAAAATGTTAATTTTTTTTAGGTATTTGAAGGGGAGAGAGGCATGACATCTGGCAACAACCTCCTTGGAAAGTTTGAGCTGTCTGGGATCCCCCCTGCTCCGCGGGGTGTTCCACAAATTGAAATCACCTACGACATTGATGCAAATGGCATCTTAAATGTGTCGGCTGTAGACAAGAGTACAGGACGTGAAAACAAGATCACCATTACTAATGACAAGGGCCGCCTGTCCAAGGACGATATTGATCGGATGGTCCGAGAGGCAGAGAAGTACAAGGCTGAAGATGATTTACAGAGAGACAAAATCCAGGCTAAGAACTCGCTTGAAAGTTATGCATACCACATGAAGAGCACAGTAGAGGATGACAAGGTTAATCATAATTCTGTAGTAAATTATAAATAATCGTTCCTTTTATCATTTGGATCCCAGTGGGTAAATTTATTCTAGAGAGAGACCTTAATGGGGGAACTTGTTTAGTTTTTCCTGAAACAAACTGAATGATAATTTTGCAAATGTTGCATGTAAAAGATGATAGTTGATTGACACCAAGCTTTACTCTAGTCAGACTCTATTTGTGGGAAATAACTTATTCTATGTACAGTGTATTCCCTTATTCCAGTTTCTAAGCAAATCTCACAGACACTGCTATAGGATTCACCGGGTGCGTTTCAGTGGGATGATCCACATTGGGATCAGTAATCCGCGATCACTCGGATCATAGCACGTCAAAGGAACTAATGAATCCACCATTAGAAAGGATTCATCAGTTCATACGATGTACCTTGATCTGAGTGATCTCGTATCACTGACCCTGATCCAGATCATCCCACAAGAACGCACCCACAGAGTGCATCATTCACATGATTTCCAAGACATTGAATCCTTGCCAGGACAAAAAACTTCTCATTCTATGAATGCTGTTTGTTGGCTTTTGTAAAAAGGTGTTTACTTTTTACTCCACAGGTGAAAGATAAGATCTCAGAATCTGACCGAGACACGATTGTTGAGAAATGCAAGGAAGCCCTCAGCTGGCTGGAGGAGAATCCAGAAGCAAGTAAAGATGAATATGAGCGAAAACAGAAGGAACTAGAGGGTGTCTGTAATCCTGTAATTACAAAGCTATACCAGGGTGCTGGTGGTGGTGCTTCTCCACCCCCTGGGGCAGGAGGCTTTTCCCAAGGGGGTGGGGCTGATTCCTCTCAGTCTGGTGGACCTACCATCGAAGAAGTTGACTAAAAATTTCTTTAATCAGAGTTCTGGAGTGTAGCTACTAGGCTACGTTGAGTGTTGTGCTTTCATGTGCAGTTTATGCCATCTTAGCTTACCATGAAGATAGTAATTTCATAGTTCAAGATGTCTTGAATTTGGTATTACATTTTTGTAGTGTTGGTGACTTGTGGTTTTTCAAAGGGTACTTTACCCATCTCTCCACCTCATCCAAGGCACTTCTTTTGCTTGTTTTGGAAATTCAGTTGTTACTGATCCCTTCAGTAATTGTAATTACAGTAGTGCAAAGAATTCATCCAGGGCCGGCAACATTAATTGGCTAATCACAGATCACATTGATTGCAAAGGAGTCTTAACTTGGTTATTTATTAGTCAATTAATAGGAATATCTCTTTGAAAGTTAAAGTGGTGGTGGTCCTGTTTGAGTTTGTTATGCTGTACAAACTATTTAAACCTTTATTGCTAGCCTTAACCCTTTAAGCCCCAATATCCACATACAAATTCTCCAAACTGATCTCTATACATGTCCTTCATGGATGAGTTGGGAGAATTTGATAAAAGATGAAAGCATTGTCCCTTTGGTGATCATTTTATTAATTCTCATAACCTAATCTCTTGACGTTGTATGGATATCGTTAGGAGAAAATTGTTGTTGGTCACTATTGGGACTTAAAGGGTTAATACCAGTGTGTGTATTCCTTGTGTGATGCTCCTAAGGGCCACTGGCATTTTGTAATCAGGATCTTATTCTAGTAAGGAAACCCCCGTTCTGATGCCACTGAGTGCAGGACTGTTAGTGTTCTTTTGCCCAAATACTCTTGTCTCTAGGCAATTCTTAATGTTTGCTCAAAACTAGTGCTGGGCAGCCCTAGTCTACCTCAAAGACATGATCTAACCCTTGTTAGAGACATCTGTGAAGCAACACTGAGACCTTGTTTTGTCAGTATTGCAGGCTAGACAGCCGTGGATTTCAAATTTTCAGAGCTTTTGTACTCCCTAAATTTTTTTTTACAGCACAGCCTGAACTGCAAGGCTAAATAATTAATATCCTTTATTCTTGTCACTGTTTATGTTTGACAGAGCAGGGTTATTTTACCTTAAAGAAGGAGTAAGATTCTGTTCAATCAAAGTGTGTAAAGGTTTTGGTAAATGAATAGCCACATTTAAGGTCCTTAAACAACAGAAAGCAAGTTAGTGTATTGTCTTAACATGTTCATGTAAGGTGAATATTGTAACACTCTTAGAGAATCTTATATAATAAATTTGTTCTTCCAAAAATGGGGTGTCTTGGGTTGTTGTCATTTTTGTATCCTGTCAATTCATACAAGTGTTTTAAATTCATACCGTATTTTAATATTTTCTCATTCAAATTTTCTAACACATCTGTAGTTTGTGCAAGTTTTTCGCTGGACACCTTTGTCAACACACTGCTTTCTCAAGTTCTGGCGTAATGCTAGTAACTAAGTAGGAACAAGGTCGAGACTTTGTACCCAGTCAGTAAACGGGGGCACCAAGATTGGTTACCAGCTAGTGCTCAAACAATTTAAAGTCTTTTACTTCCTTTGTTGTCTTTCACTTTGCTGCTACCTTTTCGACTTCCTCCCTCATTATCAATTTTAGGTCCTGCCTTGTAGACAAGTGAAAGGCAACTGAGAATCTGCTTCTATTTTAAGGTGCTCCTTTGGGAACCTCAACCCTTTTATCCCCAGAAGAAAACAAGGTCAAAATTCAAGGAAGATCTTTCATATCGTTTAATAGTTAATGAAATGAAAATTACCGGTAAACAGTACCACATGAAATTAGGCACATAACTAAGTGGTGGTCCTGTTTGAGTTTGTTATGCTGTACAAACTATTTAAACCTTTATTGCTAGCCTTAACCCTTTAAGCCCCAATATCCACATACAAATTCTCCAAACAGATCTCTACACATGTCCTTCATGGATGAGTTGAGAGAATTTGATAAAAGATGAAAGCATTTTCCCTCTGGTGATCATTTGATTAATTCTTATAACCTAATCTCTTGACGTTGTATGGATATTGGTAGGAGAAAATTGATGTTGGTCACTATTGGGACTTAAAGGGTTAATACCAGTGTGTGTATTCTCTGTGTGTACCAGTGTGGTGTTCCTAAGGACCATAAGGATCTTAATCTAGTAAGGAAAACCTCTTTGTAGAGCCCTGTTGGTGATGCCACTCAGTGCAGGAATGTTAGTGTTCTTTTGCCCAAATACTCCTGTCTCTAGGCAATTCTTAATTTTTGCTCAAAACTAGTGCTGGGCAGCCATAGCCTACCTCAAAGACATAATCTAACCCTTGTTAGAGACATCCGCGAAGCAACACTGAGATCCATTTCCAGGGTCTTGTTTTGTCAGTATTGCGGGCTAGACAGCCCTGGATTTCAAATTTTTCGGAGCTTTTGTACTCCCTAAATTTTTTTTTACAGCACAGCCTGAACTGCAAGGCTAAATAATTAATATCCTTTATTCTTGTCACTGTTTATATTTGACAGAGCAGGGTTATTTTACCTTAAAGAAGGAGTAAGATTCTGTTCAATCAAAGTGCTTAAAGGTTTTGGTAAATGTATAGCCACATTGAAGGTCCTTAAACAACAGAAAGCAAGTTAGTGTATTGTCTTAACATGTTCTTGTAAGGTGAATATTGTAACACTCTTGAGAATCTTATATAATAAATTTGTTGTTCCAAAAGTGGGGTGTCTTGGGTTGTTGTCATTTTTGTACCCTGTCAATTCATACAAGTGTTTTAAATTCGTACCGTATTTTAATATTTTCTCATTCAAATTTTCTAAGACATCTGTAGTTTGTGCAAGATTTTCGCCGGACACCTTTGTTAACACACCGCTTTCTCAAGTTTTGGCGTAATGCTGGTAACTAAGTAGGAACAAGGTGGAGACTTTGTACCCAGTCAGTAAACCAGGGCACCAAGATTGGTTGCCAGTGCTCAAATATTTCAAAGTCTTTTACTTCCTTTGTTGTCTTTCACTTTGCTGCTACCTTTTCGACTTCCTCCCTCCTTGTCAATTTTAGTTCCTGCCTTGTAGACAAGTGAAAGGCAACTGAGAATCTGCTTCTATTTTAAGGTGCTCCTTCGGGAACCTCAACCCTTTTATCCCCAGAAGAAAACAAGGTCAAAATTCAAGGAAGATCTTTCATATCGTTTAATAGTTAATGAAATGAAAATTACCGGTAAACAGTACCACATGAAATTAGGCACATAACTATACAGATATTACTATTTTTACTGTTTTTACTATCGTCAGGGCTCCATTTAAACTAGCTCTGCTAAATTGGATGCCCCTGGATAAATATTGAACTTAAAAAAAAAAAATTATCATCATCATTATTATAATTATTATTATTGTTGTTGTAATGATTTTTGATAATTTTACCTTTTGAAGGAAAAAAAGATTTATTATATAGATACTGATGAAATACCAGGATTTTTCCTTTTACTAAAAAATCATATCTTCATCGCGCGCAGTGAAGATACTATTTTTATCTTTCACGTGTGAGGATATTGGCGTGGGTCGCCATGGAATTTTTCTCTTCATTAGAATTTTGACTTTTTGGAACAGAAAATATAAGTATTATTGTCGTTATTTCTGTTTAATAACTTTATATCCGAGTTTCATAACATTTTTGCGTTAGGTGACCACTTTAATTGCACTATTTAGCTGTTTCGAAAATGAATAAAAAGAAAGTTGTATTTTATGTAGGAATTTCAGCCGGAATTTCACCGGGGAATTTCATCGGTATCTATAAAATAAACGGAACATTACATGGCCGCGCGGGGATACGAATTTTATCTTCGAGTGCTGAAAGTATCTCTCACGAGTTGGCGAAGCGAACGAGTGAGATATACTTTCAGCACTCGAAGATAAAATTCGTATCCCCGCGTGGCCATGTAATAAATCACATATCCGACTTCCGGTTCTGCTTACTCGCCCCAAGCTTTCTCGCGTGAATTGAGACGACGCCTTCATAACATTGCATGGCTTCAGTTTAGCGTCAAAAGTTAGAAACGAATTGTCGCTGGTACGACTTCGATTTTGGTGGAAAGAGATCGATGGCAATCTTACCCGAGAAATATGCGTGCCTCTTCATCGGTATGTGGTGTAAAAAGCCGAAAATTCTCTCCCTTTAGTTTGTGAACCGCTAGATCTTGATAAACTTAATTTTCCGCTTGCAATACTCAAACATGTGTTCCCTGCGAGGCTTATTTTCTTCCTCGGATACCTTTGTCTGTGTTGTTTTGCGTCAGTGAAAGAGCGAATTTGAAATGATTTTACCTTTCTTTCATACTTGGGCTACTTTTTCGATTTTTAGGTGCGTAACTAAGGGTGCGCCTTTATCGAATATTGTGAAACATTTTTGACTCGTGAGAAATTTTTTAAAAGGTCTTCATTTTTCTTTGCGTTGTCTTAGTTTCGGATGCCTCTCGTATTTTAAGTAGAATTTAGGAGGATCTTCAGCCAAAGGGCAAAGTGTTTTGGCTCTGCTGAACGGTTGAGTAATTTTGGGATTGGGGACAGGGAATGGGGAATTCGGAATTTATAATCTTTGAAACTTTTGGGTCTCCTCCTAAAGTCTGCAGAACTGCATATTAGTGTCGGGAATCAACTGTGATTTCATAATCAATCATCAGAAATTGAAATAATCGGATAATTATTGACCACTGATCAATCATCAATGATATGATCAGAAAATCTCTTTACAAGAATTCCATTTTTTTTTACTTTGTGCAAGTCAAAGTCCATGCATAAATACAAACTTGGCTTACAGGTGATCAAATTCTCTTTCTTTCTTAAGAGACCATTAGAAAGGAGCAACCACCCATTTTGGCTGAATTGCAGTTAATTTATCAAAATTAGTGGCACTCGTTAGAGAATACTGTATTTAATTATTACTGTGACTGTGGTGTACTATTTACTGCTTTCCTATTCACTAGATGCTTCTTGGAGGGATCTTTTAACAGCTTATAGCTTTTCAACAACCAGTGCTCAAGTAAGGAGACAACTTCAAAGGAAAATAGAAGAATTGTTTGGTGGATCTGAACAATGGCTTGTCTGCTTATCAATCCGAACTGCTTTGGATGCGTTTCTTGCCGTCATGAGGTTTCCAGTCGGCTCAGAAGTAATCTTTACGGCGATAAATATTCCAGACATGGTGTCAGTTGTCGAACGTCATGGACTAAAGGTTGTACCAGTTGATCTAGATCTCGATACATTAGCACCAAAGCCTGAACTGGTCGAGCTGGCTGTAACAGACAAAACTGTCGCCATTTTGGCAGCGCACCTTTATGGCAAATGGATCAATCTGGAGAAGGTTTTTCAAGTTGCTCATGATCATGGTTTGTACGTTTTGGAAGACTGTGCCGAGTGCTTCCAGGGATTGAAAAGAAAAGGTCATCAACTCTCTGACGTGTCTTTTTTTAGTTTTGGTTCAATAAAGCACTACACATCTTTCGGAGGAGCAGTTGTGGGCGTAAAAAACCCTGAAATCCTCCAAAAAATGCGTTCAAAAGTGGAGGAATATCCCATTCAAGATCAGTGGACTTACTTCAAGAAACTTGTCTGCTACTCTTTGCTAATGATGGGCGGATTCAATAACTCCCTTTTCAACTGGTTCTTTATCAATACCTTTCATATGCTTGGATTTAAGTATAAAGAGTACTTCATCTCAGTTTTGCGAGCTTTCCCTGGTGGGGTAACTATTGATAAACTTCGTCTACAACCATCTGCCATGCTACTGAGGTTTATGCTATACCGACTGAGACATATCAGTGAAAAAGATTTCCGTACTACCAAGTTGAAGGGTGATTTTGTAAGCCAGAATCTGCCAAAGAATGTGTTTGTTCCTGGGAAGAAGGCAGACATAACTAGCTATTGGCTTTTCCCTCTTGTTGTGGTAAGTTGAAATATTTTTGATTTTAGTTTATGTCATTTGTCAAGGCTGCACTTTATTGTATGCGGCCTGAAAGCTCTGAACCTTGAAATCCAGGGTGACCACAAAATGTGAAATAAAATATTAAAAAATAATGATGTAAATTACATAAGGGGAAGAATTAGAGGTATTTTTCTGGTGAGGAAGTTTAAATTGAAACCAATTAAAATAAATAAGCGGCAAAATCATTTTTTAAATATATTTAAGATTAAAAGCAAGAAAAACAAAACACACTAAACAGAAAAAAGCATCAAAAAGGAAGTATTATTTGCTAGTGGTGAATCAGCAAGTAAAGTATGCTTTAAGTGACCAAGGCTACTGGGTACTGTTACTGCATACAGCACGGCCCTGATTGTCTTTTGAAGTTCATGGGTATTTTTTTAAATTATTTTTATATTTTTATATTTTTTATTTTTATTGACAACAAATTAACAACATTAATACACAGCAAAAAGTAAAAGAATAAATAAATTAATAAATATGTCAAGTAACAAAACAAATTACAATAAAAATAAAAGGTATTGAAGGATAAAAAAAAAAACCTGTCAGTTGCCACACATATTTAATATTGTTTGCGACAATTTTGAATGCGATGTTGTTCAAAAACCTTGCATAAGAATTCCTCTAAATTAGGTTTCGTTACAATGTTCTTGCAAGTATACAAGTATTTCTTTTGCAGTAAAACCAATCGCCAAAGTTTGCATTGGAAGGGAGTCATCGAAAAAAAAACTAGCTTGTTTGAAAGTTGTACATTCTCTTTATGATATTCATTAAACCACCTTAAAGTTTTGGAAAAGAATTCCTCTGACTCTTGACAATATAAAAAAGGTGTGTTCAATTGAATCTGGATTAAGGCAGAATGGACATTTATCATCTGAGGCTAATTTATATTTCAGTAGTTCTTTCTTTGTCGTGATGATTCTGTGCACAACCTTAAAAGTGAATTGGTTAAGCTTATTATCTTTCGAGGAAAGTTCATGGGTATAAAAAATTTAAAAGCATCTAAGTATCTAGAAAGCATTAAGCATTTTTATATCCAGGGCTGTCACTGAGGACCTGTGGCCGAGGGTTTTGTCCCCTTCTCTGAGCATGTCCCATGTGGGCCTTGGTCACTTCACAGGCAGCGTGCAAAGGCTAGTGGATTTTGCTATTGGGCTAGTGAATTCTGTTCTTAACTTGTCCAATGGGAAAGTGAAGTTTTTTCAGGAATTCAAATTACATAAGAACTGTGTAATCAATCCTGCTTATCAAAGAGTTTTTGGGGCTTGTTGAGATGAATTTTGGGCTAGTACATGCCAGCTACAGCTTTCCTGAATGGCAAGCTGTAAAACTGACATTCTTTGCACCCTTATAGGAAACTAAAGGAAAAAAGAAACGAAAGAAATTCCTAGCTGTGCAATAGCTAGAAATGAAACATCATGAAAAAAAAATTTAATCATGAAATAGAAAATGCGGCAGAAGAGGGTAGTCTGTGTCTAAAATCAGAATTATTTTTTTGCAGGATAATCCAGATGAGGTGGTAAGGGAACTTGAAAAAGAAGGTGTAGAAGCTTACAGGGGTGCAACCCAACTCTCCACTGTTTTCAGAACAAAAGAGGTTGGACAAAGAGAAGATGCCAAGAAAGAAGAGAGCAGTGTAGATGCTGAACTTCATCTTGCTAATTTGCTCCCTGAAACAAGCGCTGTTACAGCCTTGAATATGTCTTCTGCATCAGATTTACCAAAACCAAGTGGGACACTAAGGTCGTCAAATATGACATCTGCGCAGTTTATGTGTTCT